CATCGAAAACCTAACAATCTCACAATGTAACAAATATAAATTGTTCTCTAATATGGATGAGAACACAATAAAAGCTCACACTCAATGCTACAACTCTCACAACCCTAATATATTATGAATGCAAATACAATAAGCTCAAAGTGGGTGTGTGTAACAATGAGTGAAATCAAATCTAAACTCAATATAAAACTATCTTTAATAGAATTGATAATTAACAAATAACAAATGAAAGCTAGAGTAGAGTTTAGAAAACTTCTCAATGGAAGACAAGATGGAGAGATGGAGATTGGAGCCCAAACAAGAAGATGATCTCCTCCACTTGTGAAAACTTCTTCACAAACAAAACAAACCCTTAAACACACTTAAACCCTTGTTTAAAACTTGTTTAAAAACTTCTTAGATAGTTTGAAAAGAGATCAGCAATGCCGAAAACAGATATGACAGGTTCTGAAAAATTATTTATCTGATTTTAAAACGCTGTTTAAAATATCAAATAAATTCCAAAAAATGTAAAACTTTGGGGAATGATTGTAGACATGATAATAAACATGCTACAATGACTGGTTTCAAAAAAGGACTTCCCAAATGAAAAATATCATTATTTTACAAAATAGTCCAAAACATGAAAACCTGAAAATTTGATATTTTGATAATTTAACTTTAAACAACATTTTGAAACCTTATGGAATGATTGTATAGACTTGATAAAAGATATAACATGTTGTTATGAAGTCTATAACCTAGAAATAAAATATTTTCATAAAATTGCATATTTTATGCAATATATTCAAAACACTAAATATGATTTCATTAAATATAGATGAAATCATATATAGGCATATAAACATGAAACAAAATAGTATTTTCCAATTCTATTCATTTGTTTCATATATAAACTCGAAAATTATTAAACCAAAAACATATATGTATATATATAACTGTATATATACAAAACCAAAACCAAAGCGTGTATGTGTGTGTATGATTGAGCTTAAAGTACTAACACACATAATATAAGTTCCTAAACTAAATTACCCAAGCAATGATCTTGATCTTCAATAAGCTTGACTTGGTAATCTCGCGGATGAAGCTTTAACTTGGATCTTGAACTTTGAATAGCAAGGCTTCAACCCGACATTCCGCCAACCTCCTTTGGATATCATCGTTGAAGCGCAATCCATCCAACCTCCAACAACGTTGTTTGTCTACAATAAATAAGAATACACAAACACTAGACAAACAACATTAGTAGTAAATTGTTTGTAAATCATCATCAAAACAAGAAGGCCAACATACTTATGTGTCGTCGTCGAAGAATCTGGCCATGAAGAGCCTCTCCATGTCCTTCCAACAATTGATGGACCCAGACTCCAATCTGCGGAACTACTCAAAATTGATCCCCTTGATGGTATCAATGAACAGTCGAGTCATAATGGGATCATTTCCCACTATATGCCTAGTTTGCTCATGGAAGTAATAGATATGCTAGGTAGGAGAGCCCGTGCCATCAAATTATAGGAGGCTGAATGGCTTGAACTTTGGAGGATAAGGAACAATGTCCCATTTGACAGGGTACAGTCTAGTCACCCCTAGTTCTTTAAAATTTCTCTAAAACTTCAAAGCATCAAGTTGCTTCTGAAAGTCGTCCAACTTCTGGTCTCACTCTTTCTTGCGAGGATTGGATTCAGCTTTCGATGATTCAGAATAAGCTTTTGGAGCTTCCTCTTCATCATCCTGTATTAGTGTCCTCTTAGTTTGGACGGCTAGATCCCCCGACTTTAGGTGAAGGTCGCTAATATCCTGCCCGAAGCTTCACCAAAACCTTTCTTCTTTTTTTCGTAAGGAGCTTGTCTATCGTCTCTCTCTCATGAGCTTAATAGTTTCCTATTGTTAGAGAAGGGTAGCTTGCTGCTCCTCTAATCTTTTCATCAGGTCCTCCACATTTCTAATTGTTAGAGAAGGGTAGCTTGCTGCTCCTCTAATCTTTTCATCAGGTCCTCCACATTTCTAGCCATATCAGCATTCGCGCGTCCACTTTGATTAGTGCTGGATGCTTGAAAAGTGGTAATGGTTGAGTTGTTAGGCTCATTATTGGTATCGTCAGAAAATATCTGCTAAACGTCGGTAATCCAATAGAGTTACCGAGCCAGTACGGGTGCGGGTGTGTCGAAAGATACCCTCTTGCTCAATAAACCCCCTCAGCCCCGGAGAGAATTCAGGATCGGAGGAGTCCGAAGGGCCGGCTGGTCCTTTGCCTTTACCTCTGCTAATCATATTGATTGTAACCTTAGCAGGTTCATTCTTAGGAATTTGCTTTCTGGGATGAAATCGTCTTCTTCTGGATGATGAGACTCCCGACAGTCCAGACAGTCACTCAAAGACAGAGGACTTGAGTGATGGCCCCCTGCACTGGCATTCGGCAAGTACTGTGGAGATGAGTCTTTCACAGTTGCAACGAGATTTTATTTGGCTCAGACTGCGTTTACGAAGTAGGTAATCACAGAGATTAACAACAGGACCACCCCTGTTAACTCAGGTAATTTGGCTATGTATGCACAAAAATCTCTAAGTATTAGAGATTGGCGAGCCTGAATGGCTAGACAAACCTCGCCACTCTTATGTTTGATACAAGGTTTGTTAGTTAGGCGAGCCTCATCATTCATGCGAGTATCAACATTTGGGCGAACCTGGTTCGGGGGACAAATTTGTTATCTTAATCGAACCTTGATTTGGCAACATGAAGGTGGCCCAGTGGTGGAGCGGGCTCTATGTTGGAGGAGAGGTTCGTCATTTTGACGCACCTCAATTCTACCAATCTCGATAGTGGGGCGAACCTGGCTTGGGAGATGACCTTGGTATCTTGGATGGGCCTCATGTTGAAGACGAGGTTTGTCATCTGAGTGCAGTTGGACGCACGAGCAGTGATGATGAGGTTCATGCTGTAGGCGAGGTTCGTCATTTTGACGCATCTTAGTTGGGCGAGCCTCTACTAACTTGCGAGCTATGACAATGTCATCTCTGGGCCTATAGTGGAAGCCATCCGGAGAAGCTAAGGCATAGGCTTCACGACGGGCCTGATTGACGACGTCTTGCCCTCTTCAACAGCAGATTAGCCTCCGGCTCCGTAGCAATTGGAGTTTGTTTGGGTTGTTTAACGACCCATTTCTTAGCCTGACAGCTAGTTCTCGGAGCCTCGACAGTCAGAGGCAAGGATTTCTCCTCAAGGCAAACTCGAGTTGAGTTGTTAGAAGCCGAATTGGCTAGAGTCTCGTGAGAGACTTTGCGGCACTTATGTTCTTTGGAGGGACTTGGAGCACGAGAGGAGAGGAACTCCTCGTACTTGGATTGATCGAACTCGATGATGAGAGTTTCGACGTCAGTTCCTACGACAATCTTGTTCGACTGCGCTATGATCATTTCTTCAGAGAAAATGATGTGTCCCACTGTGGTCATAATCTTTTGTAGGGTCTCGAAAAAGATGATATGACTAATTCTTCAACTGATTAGTCGAAAGAAGAGATTCTATCGCTTGGTAAGAATCTTTTTACAATCGTTCATTTTTTTAAGTACAGAAGATGAGAAGATTGATTCGACTTCTCCTTTGTTTAACGTGGATTCGATGTGGCGATGAGATGCCTCTCTCGATGCTCGTGTCGAGCTTATTTCTCGTTAACGATCGGAGCAAAATTGCGTCAACTCAAGGAACAAATAGCCTCTTTCGAGTGCTTGAGCTACTTGTGGCTGTTGTTAGCCCTTGACGCTTGTGCGTCTAACTCTTGGGTCTCAATATCTGATGCTCAGATCTTCAAAAGTAGTTCTCTTTTGTAGCTGTTCATAGCTATTTATAGGCTCTTAGTTCTAACGCTAAGATCATGGGATCATGAGCGTAACTGACTCTTTAGATTTAGCCCATGTGGGTTGACTGGGTCCTCATGGCTGTTAGCCTCTTGGCGTTGAGCCTCATTGGATGATACAAGTCTCGTTGCGTAACGAGATTCATCTGATGAGATGAGCCTCGCTGTGTGGCAAGGTTCGTCTAATGAGACGAGCCTCGCTGCGTGGCGAGGTTCGTCTAATAAGACGGGTTTCGTTGCGTGGCGAGCTTTGTCTTTGATGGTCGATCCTGACTATGTGGTGAGCCTCGTCTTCTGGGACGAGTCTTGTTGTTTGGAGAGGCTCGTCTCTGGATGAACCTCGCCTCCTGAATGTGCTTCATTTTCTAGAGGTGCTTCGTCTCCAATGACGAGCTTCGTCTTCAATGGCGAGCTTCAACACTCTTTTGTTTCTTGGCACTTTTTAGTGCCTACACATGTATTAATATTTGTCCACATGATATTAGATAAAATAAAATAAAACAATAAAATATATCCGAAACAAAAATGTCAACAACTTGGATGGGCAACATGCTTGTACCTTAGAAATAGAGGATGATGTCATGACTCTCCTCTCCCTCCGTGATTGCATTTAACATGTAAAAAGTTATTTAAGATTGTTTGGTCCCCCTAAATAATTGACGATGTAGTTTGATGAGATGTTTATATAAAAGAAAGAGGAGGTTGCCATATAAGAATTTAAAGAGATGGAGAATTATATTTGTGATTAGTCATGAGGATATTAAAGATGATTAGTGGAGATAATGTATGAGTGAATGATTGTACATTAATGTAAAATTATTTAGAATTCTAATGAAATGGTAATATGTATGTATGTATATACATAGATATATAAAGTTGGAATTATCAAATTTAAGAGGGATAAAAAGGGCATACCAAAGTTTTAACATCTCTATCATCATCTTTTATAAAAGTATAGATATAGATATAGATAAATAGATATAGACACATATATAGATAAGTAAAATGTGTTTTTAATTAAAATTGCAAATCAATGCAAAAACTATTATAAATTATAAAAATATTAAGTAGATATATGTGAAAAGATTCACAATATTTCATCTCCCGCCTATTACTTTGCTTTTTATTACTTAATTCTCTCACCCTCTTCTCCGTAGCCAATTTCTTCAGTACCTCATAAAAAGGCCAAAAAGAAAAAGGGGAAAAAAAAACTAAAATAAAAGGGGAAGGAAGAAACTCGAGGCTAGGGTTAGGGTTTTGAGCGATGACTTCCTCAGAGAGTGACAAGCCCGATCCCAAATCTCCCCCAGTTCAGGTAGTCTTTGATCTCTCTATTCCCTCTTAATCTCAAAAAAAAAAATCAATTTATACGCGTTAAATCTGTGGGTTTTCTGCTGTTGGTGGTTTATCTGATGATTTCCTCTGAAATAATGTTGTTCTTGGTTTTAATTGGTGGGAGATCGAAGAGGAGATCGTGGACATAATGGGCCTTGGCTTTGATTATGATTCGAGCTTGTGATTTTGGGGTGGAAATGCTGAAATATAACTGAGTTCTTTTATCCATAAATTTTCTATCAGGACAAAAGGATTATTTGGTTTTCAGGTCTAGTTTCATTGAATTTGAGGTGTGGGTAGATCTGAACAATTCGTTATCTCTATGCATGATAAAAATGTCTAGAAATGGTTAAATGGATTCTCTTAATTGAATAAATTGGGAACTGCATCTTGCTGTGATTTATTATTTAAAAGAGATCTCATTTATCTTCTAGCAAAATCTTGAGAGGAACTTTTTACTTACATTTTTATTAATCTGTAAGCATATTGTAGATACTATTAGTTTGGACAATTTATGCATCTATGGGAACACTCTCTTAATGATGGCCATACAGAACCTATCATGGTGTTATCCATTATATTTACATGCATGTTGTGTTAAATAGATCACATCAGACACTATTTTGTTATCTTTTTCTTTCATTGTTTTTGTGGTATCTTATGTTAGTGTTTCTTTTATACCCCATTTGATATGATACACATATCTTTGGTTATGGATGAGTTTGTCTTCAGTTATTTAGGCAAGTTTCTTTTTTTTTCAACGTCATGTTTTTGTTGTTGTTCCGATATGTGATTAGCATGTAACTATATGTAGTTGCTACTAGTTTTCACTTTGTTTGAACAATTTATGTTTTTCTAGGAACACTCTCTTACTAATGATATCACAGAACCAATCATGGCTGTATCCGTTACATAACAAGCATACTTTGTTAAGGCGATCTAACACGATGCTGTTTTGTTACTTATCCTTTTAATATTCATGTGGTATCTTATGTTAGTGTTCCTCTATCCACCATTTTTGTAGGACTCACCCATCTTTGGTTATGTGAGTAGCTTGTCTCCTATAAATCCAGTCAATGCTAGATCCATCGTGCAAGTATATGAAAATGTAGATATTCCATCCCCACAACTGGTGTTCAAAACACCAAATTTCAGTCGCTCAAATTTATTGGGAAGGTATGTTGTCTTGCACATCATTCCTTTTAGTTTATGTTGCTACTAGAGAAATAACCTGAGTTTGTTCATATTCTGTGGTTTTTCCAGATCCCAACTTTTGGCTTTAAATAATGTTGAGAATAACTCTCCTGGATATAGAAATAATACTAGAGAATATTCAGAAAACGTTGATGTTAACGGCACCTCCCAGCCAACAAGAGAGTTTGTTTCTCACAGAGATAATGAATGCCCCAGTGGAGACCCATCTCCAACTCAATCATTTACCAGTCCTTCAAATTGTGTTGATGATTTTCTTGCTGATCCTTCAGAGAATGGTAATTGTTCTTCTAGTTCACCGGAATTTTGTGTTAAGAGAGCTTGTAAGGACATTGAGTACGACAATGCTAGCTGTTGTGAGAATCAAACGGAAAGCTTAAAGGAGGATCTTCTGAGACCCCATCCTTGCACCTCTGCAATTTCCACTAGTAAACAGACAGATGATTCTCTTCACTCAAAGCGAGATTCTCATACATCTGATACTTTGGTAAATGATTCTATTAACCATAAAGAATCCTACTTAGAGCTCCATGCAGCTGACATGAAGAAACACACAAACAAGACAGCTGTTATAAGTTTCAGAGGACTATATCAAACAGAAGAGGATGTGGAAAGTATGTCCATGGCTGCCGAGACCATGGAAATAGATAAAGGATTAATTGCTGCACAGATGGGACAGGTACCAAAAGATGTGAGAGACTATACTAATGCACACAGCTCGGATTTTATCATTTGGGATAGAGATAATTCTGTTTTTCAGGGTGCAATTGGTAGTTCCTCTGTGTCAAGAGCCAATATTTGTGATCTCTCCCATGACGAGAAAGGAAACTCTACAACTTCAGCCTTTCTGTGCCAGGGAGAACGAGAGCCGAAGCTGCAGACTACTGAAACTTGTCAACCAAATGAATTGGACTGTACCTCTCAATTGCCTCGAGATTTCCATGAGAAGATTCAAACAGGCAATAATAATATCAAGATCACTGTGCCACCGATTTCTACATCTGCTGGAAATGATCTGGAGGTACCACAATATATCTATTGTTTTCTTGTGTTATTATTCTTCATGTTCAATATATCACATTTATTTCTTTCAGGTCATGTTTTTGTCTTAGTTAGAACCTAGAATATTTCTCTTTGCTCAGTGTCTGCTGACTTTCTCTACTAAATTTTGATCTGAATATGCACCATCAATCTTAACAATCTAGTATGTTTGTAGTTGCGCAACAAGTTTGAATCTTTTGTAAGGGCATGTTAGGAGTAGTATCAAGATGCAATGTATTTGATGCCAATTCACTCTTGAAATATCATGGGTAATAATGTAAGGTAGAGTGAAACTAGAATTGGCTTATATGACTGATATCATATCAGCCTTTTTATTTTCTTTATATTTTTTAAGGACTCTGCTCTTGCGAACTTATTTCTGTCTGTTTTGAAATCCTAGCATTGTAATGTATATTATTATCCTTCTCTTTTGAGAATTTTATCAATCTTACCAATCTTGGATGTGTAGTTGTGCAACAAGAGTTAATGTCCGATAACTCTCCCCCCTTGATCCCAACCCAATCCTGATTACCTGTCCAACTAGTAGAACTTGATATGAAACTGTTAATTTTCCTGAATAAATATATGCATGTACCTAGCAGAAGTGACAGATAAAATCTTATATACTATCTTAAATTGTAGCTCTTATTCCCAAAATGATCACCACAAAATGCTGATAGGAAACATAGTGGTAAAATTTTTGACTGTAGGATTCAACTGTGTCAGCTTTTTGAGTAAATCACTAACCTGCCCATCCTTCAATTCTAGATTTGGTCATTCTGATAACAGCGCTTGATGGCAGTACCTGACAGTACATCAGTATTTTCTCTTTTTACTGCATCCATCTCAAATATTTTAGTTTGTTGTGTACTTGTATATACTTCAAAAGAATTGCACTAGGCTATTTTGTTTAGAAGGTTATTACAGGAGCATAATATCAGTAGTTAATGTAGGACAGTATTCAACATCAACGTGGCAAGCGAAAACGTCTTGAATTTGAGGCAGCTGACTTAAGTAACAGAAACTCTTTCAACTACACAACTGAAGCTTCCAATTTGGATTTACCAATTGCTCCTTTGGAACTGGAGTCTGTAGGTGCCTCTCACGCAGAATCAAATGCAGTGTCCAGCCACAAGCAAGTGGTTCACTATACCTCTACGAATGCTCCTTGTCGAGTTTCAGTTAGGGTTGACAAATCTGGACAATGCAAGGAAAGTCTTGTTGCAGCCCCTAGGCCAGCTGGGATTGGATTACACTTGAATAGTATTGGAAATGCTGCATCCACAAACTACAATTCAGACATGCAACTAGCAGAAAGGAATGCAGGTCTACATGGGAAGTCACTTTCTCTCGATATTGAGCAGGCATCCAAAAACTCAAAGAGTTGCTTGGTTTCCGTGAGCTTAATGCACCCACAAAAATTTACATTTAGTGCTGAGAAGCCCTTGCATTATTCTGGGAATGAGAGAAATCAAGAAAGGCAACAAGGAGATCAAGGCTTTCAACAACATCATTCATCTGTCAATTATCACTCTCCATTGGCAGCAAAACCTTTGAATAGCTCTGCGCCACTGAAGCATATGGATCACTACATGACTCCGTGTAATATTAAAGGGCTAGAGGAGGCTAAGAAATCTGAGGAGTCCACTCAAACCAGTCCCAGTAAGAAGAGGCAAGTTTACATTTTTTATTCATCTGGGGTTTCTGCCTACCTTCCCTCCTACTTAATTTTATGTTAAACTTGTGACATCCAGGAAGAGGACCCCAGCAAATGGTCCTAAAAGGTGCAACTGTAAGAGGTCAAAGTGTTTGAAGCTGTAAGTATTTCTTGGTTTTCTTTTTTCATGAGTATATATTTACGTGCTCTTTAGTTTAGACATTAATACATTTTGTTCCATTCTCCATTATGCAGCTACTGTGACTGCTTTGCTGTAGGATCATTCTGTTCTGAAGCTTGTGCATGTATAGATTGTTCTAATAGAACTGAGCATGAAGAAATTGTTCGCGAAGCTAGACAACAGATAGAGTCTCGTAATCCACTTGCATTTGCTCCTAAAGTCTTGCTGCGTGTCAGTGATACACCCAAAGGCATAGGAGTAAGGACTTAACATACTAGTTTCTACATCATTGCTTTGGTAGTGAATATACATTAACTATACTCCCAACTTGTAGGATGATGAGCCAATACCTCCAACCTCTGCCAGACATAAAAGAGGATGCAATTGCAAAAAGTCACTGTGCTTGAAAAAATACTGTGAATGCTTTCAGGTTTTCTTTAGATTGTATTTATTTTCGTATTTGTGCTCTCTAAGCTTCTTTTTGGTATTTTGTTTATTTGTTAATTGTTATTTCATGAAGGCTGGCGTTGGATGTTCCTCAGGATGCCGATGTGAAGGATGTAAGAACACTTTCGGCAAGAAGGATGGTAAGCGAAGTAAAAATTTTCATTATTTTCCATCTAGGAATATGCCAGGAAATAACATTCACCTGGTAGCTGTTGTTGATGACATTTAATTTTACCAAAGTGGTCATACCTTACAAACTAAGGCTGACCTTCTCTCAATTAGGGTAAATATTAAAGTATCCTCATATGTTAACTTGTTCTTGTTTTCAATGTTATTCTTTATGTGTTTTCATCATAGGGCTGTGAATTTTCACGATAATTCAGACATGTTATCTTTGGTGAGGTCTAATCAAACTGTTAAACAAGTCAGTGAAATGCAACAAGTAAATTAAAAGTTATCATATCAATGATGAAGGTACTTAATATACTACAGCTAATGGCTGAGCTGATCAGTGTTTCGCTTTTTTTCCCATGTAGTATATTTCAATTCATTGGTTTTTAATCTACTAAGTACTAAAGTGGCTTGAGGATATACGTCATGTTGCAGGTTTGATTTAGAAATGGTTTTGTGATAAATTTTAGCACTATTTTTTCAGGTTAAGGAAGAAACATTATAGAGAAAATTATCTAATGTGATTCAAACTTCTAGGGAGTATTTAGCACGATTCCAAAATCCCTTTTAAGGGTTAAATTTAGAAAAACCCTCTGAACTAGGGGGATGTTGCAGAAAACGCCTTCAATTATTTTAATTTGACTAAACTCCCTCAATTTTTGTGTTGTAGATAAACCTCCTAAACTTTTTAAATTCGAGTTAACACCTTTGAACTATTGGTTCTCACATAATCCCTTTGCTTGATAGACCCCCTTGACGCTGTTACCCTAAAATGTGAAATGACTCAAATACATTTTGGGGGAAAACCTATTTCTATGTTCAGTTAAAAAAAAAAAAAAACCCCTGAACCAATTTTTTAATAAAAAAGACTGGGAGGTGATTCTTAGTCATAAAAAAAAAAAGAAAAGAAGAAGAAAGAAAGAAAGATAAAAAGATAATATTTTTATTGCTGAAGGTTATCTTGCTCTTTCTGGTTATGTTCTGGTTATGTTAAGGTGAAGTTCAGCGGAGTAATCTACACCACCCTTAACAATAATATATATATATATTTTTTTTTTTTGGGGGGGGGGGGGGGGGTTGTTAGTTGTATTAAAGAGGCTGATGGGCGTTTTTCTGTGACACCCCCTATAGTTGAGGGGGTTTTCTAAAATTAACCTACGTATTTAACGTTCATTTTTGTTAAGAGCAACCTTGTCTGTTTTTTGGGCTCCAAATCTATATTATTTATGCCTTTATAGTTCTTCCATGAGATGTTATTGTACAGCATAGCGTCTTTCATCACTAGCTTAATTATTCTAGCATTAGATGGGGTCATTCTAGGGTACTAAAAGTGAGATTATATCATCTCCACTTTCTGTTGAATGATGTATTGCCCCCTTTTTAATTGATCATAGATCCAATGGTTAGGGAAGTGGAAGAAGAGGGAATCTCTTCCTCTTAGAAAGAGCATAGTTAAGCTGTATGTGCTGTGTGTGAGTTGGTGGCATACATCTGTGGTGGGTGTGCGCGTGTGCATGTGGGTGGGTGTGCGCGTGTGCATGTGTGTGAGTGAGTGAGTGAGTGAGATATCTTGAAAAGTAGATCTAGCATATATTTACCCCTCTATTCTTCATTCGATATAAGATTATCAAAATCTCAAAGGGTGAATAATAGCGAGGGAATATTGCAATTGTGACCACTAATGAATGTGCCACGTAGTAAGTGTTTAATCTAGGGTTTTATATTTAATGGAACTTTAACATGCTAATGCTGCAAAGTCAGATGCATTCCAAAGACATGCATACATGTGCCTATGTCCTGTTTACGAATTACTTTGTTGGACATTTACACTTGACACTTATGTCTTGTTTGGTAGGTAAAACCTATTTTTCATTTTGTTTAATTTTTCATTTTCACCTTTTTTTTCTTTTTTGGAGGGTGCCTCTTAAATTATGTTTTAACAAGCTCTGATTATTCTCAGTTCTTCTGGATGAAAACATAAGAGAGGGGGAGTTGATTAAAAAGATAATCTTGTCATTATTGATTCTTTTGTATGTAAAGACAGAAGACTATCCCCAGATCACTCCTCATATTGTTTCTTTCATTTACCCCATTCTTAAGTTGTAAACTGGATCACGTAATCTGGTTTGCAGTTGCATTTTTCTTCCATATCTACATGATCAGTATTATTATATTAGGCAGCGAAACAAATAGTCTCTGCCTCTTTTTCGATGTAATTTATTGCAGAATTTTGCTTGATCAGTTTGAGCTTTTTCTGCCTCCTGGCCTGATGACTTCTCTCATTGAGGTGAAAAACTAATGTAGACGCATGGTACCTTACTATGATGGTTATTTGATGAATGTTTGAAGATTTAGAGATGATAATGTACTGATCTTGATATTTCATCATGCATCTTCTTTATTGTGATGTTCTTTTGTGATCCTCTCAATGCCTCTGTATGCAGAATATGAGATATCTGAAGTGACAGTAGAACATAAAAGGCCTAAGGAAGCAAGCTTGGAAAGGGATCTCTCTGGTGAACTGGAGAGCATAGAAGTCAAGGGACAAATAACAAATGCTAAGCGAAGACATTCAAGATTCTCCCCTCTCACTCCATTACTCCAAAGTTCAATGTAAGACTTCATACCGGCGTCATAAATACCTTGTTTCTAACAACACTCATACTTCTTCCTAATTGTGTACATCTATGTTTTTAGGGGAAATGATCTGCCCAAACATCACCTTCCTTCAAGCCTCTTTCCTTCTCCGGACTCTGTTGCATCTATTGTAAGATCTTATGAATCTTCTGATGCTGATCTCGATGCCATGCAGAATGATCATAATACCGAAAAAGTTGATCCATTCTCACCAGGATGGGATGTGTTTTCTGATATATATAACCTAAGCCCTTTGCTTAAAACTTCAGTTTCTCCTAGTGCTGGCAGCTCCTCAGCTGCATCCAAAACCCGAGAGCATAAAATATTTAAATTTCCACAAGGTAGTACGAAAATATCACTTGGTTCTCTTCGGTGGCATAACTCACCCATAACTCCAATACCTGAATTTGAAGAAAGTGAGTTTGTCCGAGAATCTGATTCAAATAGTGGAGTACCTTGCAACCAAGAGGATGATACCCCTGATATTTTGAAGGAAACTCGGTCACCAATTAAGATGGTAAAGTCTTCTTCCCCTAATTCAAAGAGGGTGTCTCCGCCTCACCGAATTTTGTGCAGTACAAGTGAAAGCCCTCCTCCATCTGGTCTTAGGAATGTCCGCAAGTTTATACTTCAATCTATGCCTGCATTCCCTCCTCTTACTCCTTATTCCAAGAGTAATAAAGAAGGAACTAAAGAGGATGAGTTCACATGAACAGTAAGTTGTTATCATAAACGGGAATTATTATCATATTGTAGATCTAAGTTTTTGTTATCCATATTGAGGGACCGAGTTCTGAGTTTCTAATATTTTGGATGGAAGCAGACATTTCTAGAATTTGTTTCCCTGTTATGCGATCTTTGCTTTTGCGACATTTTATGTTGCGGGACCTGAAGCTTAAGTTGTCAGAAATTGTTTTTCCTTATTTGGATTGTTTCTACATAAGGCTATATTGGATTACGAGGAGCCATCACATTTAGCAAAAAATGAGCTACCTGAGAAATATGAGCTGTGAAATCCAAATCTTGTGATGTGAGTAGCAGATAAAGAGAACAGGTTCCCATCTTATGCCCATGTTTCCTCTACGTAAATACTGAGCGAGCATACGTTTAACAGAAGGAAAAGAGGGAAGCACCTAACCCCCCCCCCCCCCCCCTGTAATCCAGATTATGATAGCGACTTATGAATCGCACATGCGTCCAAGTGGACTATTAAATCATTCAAAGTTCAAGCCATCAGAGATTTCATTCTTATATATTTAACTTATTTTTATTGTTGCTACATAAACATACGAAGAACCTCTGCAAAGTAGGGCTAGGAACAGTGCAAAATCTTTTGACGCAGTGCTAAATGGTCTTTATACAAAAACTAGAAACTACAAAATAAATTATCTCCTCACTCAGCTTGAACTTCTGCAAATGGTTAGCGGTTATTTAAAAATAATCGGACTTCATCATCGCTGACGTAAGTTTTGTCATCAGATCACATTGCTTGCCAGGGGGTAGAAGGCTGTATTAAGGACATTCGGCAAGGAAAAAGAGGCTAAAATAAGTCATTTCTTCTTACTGTCGAACCACAGAATTTGGACTGAGAAAGTGATTTTATTGCACACGAGCACCAATCTTTTTAGAAGATATATAAAACATAAAAGTGGTTATTTAGCTCGCTACAGCGGTAGTTACATTTCAGGTCAATTGGAGCTGCCCGTTTCACCGCGACTAACAACTGCATTGACAACTGTAATTCACGTAGAAATATTAGGGCATAGAATAACAGCCACAGCATTTGATCAACAGAAGAGGTATAAACTCTAACTCCAGTTGGAACCAAACCTAAAAGAAATCCAAGAAGCCTTGCATTTGTAAATATCAAAAGTCTCAAAGGAAATACTAAAATAATTACAGCTGCAGCAAACTAAACAGTTTCTCAACACCCTTGGGTGCAGTTATAACACAGTGATAAAACCTCTTCGCATTGTGAAAAAGATGCATAATCCTTAAGAGTACACGAATAAATCGAGCTCTTTCTCCTTCACCGACTTCCTTCGTCTCTAAGTTTCAACTTTTTCACATGTTAGTATCATATAGATTGCAGTTCTAAATAAATAATCCTTGTTCTGTCAAATACTATGGCTTTCTTTTACAAAAGATCACATTTCGGTTAACATTTTAAAACTTCCTTAAAAATAAAATAAAACAAAACAAAACAACATATAATCTGATTTGCAAGTCATTCAACATAATCAAATATATAAGTGCATTGTCCATTTAACCATTTCTTTATTATTTGATGATGCAATGTGAAACCATAACAACAAAAAGCTCAATCGAGAGGTCAGTTGAATGAACAATCCGGGTGAGATATTTCTCCCACAGAAACATTATGTCATGCGCAAAAACAATGAAGTAAATACTTTGACAAAAGCTGCCTGAAGTTACAAAGTATAATTGATACTCGAAACAGCTTTTTCAATAATATTATCGTCCTTAGTGATGATCTTCATCATGTCCGTCTGGGTCCCCACCGTTGCCAACTACCTCCAGCTAAAGAGAGAGAGAGAGAGAAGGAAATTTCTGTGAAAGATTAGAGAGAGTATGTTTAATTTAGAATAACAGGTATAGAAATAATTACCACAAAGTATTGGGAGCACACAGGGCATTCATGAGGCTTGTCTTTCTCAAGCCAAAACCATACAACATCATGCTCATCCTCTGAAAATTAATCAAGAGCCAATATGGTAATGTTACTGGTTTCTATTACTGAAGCAAAGGCAATACTAAAATTTGAATCACATTCATTAAAAATAATAATAATATCATTAGTGTACAGGGGAAGAAATTCTTATAGACATTCTGTAGAAACTACTATTCCCTCAAAGAAATTTATTATTATTATTATTTGAGTATTAAGCGGTATACTTTTACATTCAAAACAGTAATAAAAGAATTATAATGTGAAAATCTTACCTCCTTCACCACCAGGGCAACCAACTATTCTCTTGTTATACCAAGATTGGACTACAGCAGGCGCCTCCTGCAGATAACACCATTCATACAAAATTTTATGTAAAAAGAATCAACCAAAAGAGAGTCTGCTACAAGAATCAGCACAAAAACAGTAGTCCATATCTAAATCTAACCAACCACAAGTAGAAAAAAAGGTCATATTTTAGAAAAGAATCAGGATTTTGTTCTCAAGGAGAGGGAGAAGTGTCTCTTTCATACTTCAGTATCATATTTGCTCTCATCTATCATGAAATATATGTACACAAAGCATACAATTAAGTACGCATTACAAATGAAGATATATGGCCTATATGAATGTGGCATGCTTGTTATCAAGAGTTAAAATGATAAGGTAGCTTTCTATTCATTTTAACCTACTCATGTAAGGGTAAATTTCATAAAACTACAATCATCATGTACTGTAAAAGGATAATGTAGCTTTCTATTCGTTTTAACCTACTCATGCAAGGATAAATTTCATAAACCTACAATCATCATGAACTGTGGGATATTTTGCACAATTCCGCCATAATTTTTGTTAAAGAAAACTGCCATGAACTTTATCAGTAAACTACAATACCTTCTGGCACTCGAGACAAGTTATCACATATTTTCTCCGTGACATGTTTTGGACAATTTTGCCCTTGTGTACTTCATACATTTTCTATATTACACGTATGAACCTTGTGGGTTTATAGACATAAATAAGGATAGTTTAGTGTGGACCTTGTGAGTTTATAGATATAAACAAAAATAGTTTAGATGTTTTATTCAAGAACTTAAAACAGTAACAATTTCCAATAGTTCATGACACTTCTCTGCAGTTTTGAAAATTCATTGCAGTTTTCTTTAATAAAATAATCTTATGGTAGTTTCAAGCAAAGCCCCAAAGTTAATAGCAATTTTACGAAATTCACCCTCAAATTTATGATATGCAAGAACCTTGTTTCCCTGTCAAAAAATGGCATATCTATCTTTATCAGACATGAAATGCATCTATATCAGCATCTGTCACTTGCAAATGCATGAAACAATTCTACTCTTTATATATAAGAACTGCATAAGTATATCTCATTGTAAAAAAATATTTTACAAAAAACTAACTTTGTGGTGAAGGATCACTGAAACAAAAAATAATAATGAATACAATTATTATATGTTAAGCATGAATAAATTGATGAAAACACGTATTACAACTGTGTTCCTATTTCTGATTTTTTGAGAAATGCCACATCTAGGGCCCCATGACTGCTCAAAATAAGAAATTCATGTCGATGTAAACAAACAGCTGCTCACTGTAACAGTTACAATATTAATCCAACTGCATGTCCCACGGTTATAGTCTATTATTTCATTTGCTAAAGTTACATTTTATAAAGAAACATGAGGTTGATTTTAATTTCAGAAGTAAACTTATAAGGAAAACTTCTACTTGCATTAATGAAGATCATGCATAAAAACTATTTATGTTGCACTATATGCACGACCAAAGAGATATATATACACCTGAAAAATGTTTTTTGGTCACCAAACTATGAGATATTCACTAAAGCATTATTTGAAAAGGCCTGTTTCTTACCCTCTTGCACTAAGGCTGACAGTAGGTTCAATAGGACCAATGAATAGACACAGTATTCTAGAATCTAGAGGTCTATTGCAAAAGAGAATGTGGCAAGTAAATGAATGGAAGACTGTAGGAATGTCTATTTTCCAGTGCCAGCAAAATGGCCTACTATTTTGTCATCTAAACAATTGGAAAAGAACACCACAAATTGCCATCCTAATAAATTTGGCAGATGGGTTAAGACATTTTCCATTTGTCGGCTGTTACAGTTGACATATTTTGCAAATAATCACATATGGCTGTCACCATATTTTTCTCCAGTCCTCCCACCCACTCTCACATTCCCTCCCAAACTCATCACAATTTCTAGTTACTCTTTAACTTTATGTCTCTCATGTGCATAAAGTGCGTACTGAAAATCAATGAACATGACTTAATATTGTTAACTAAATTTTTTAATAATATATCTGATAAATAGCATTTTACACATACTAACATTCTTTTCTTAAATAATTTTACTAATAAATAACGAGTCTTACTTAAAAAATAGGGGTTTTCATGAAAACAACCTTTAAAATAAGTCAATTTGATAAAAACCACCTTCAAAGTTATTTTTTATGCATTAACCACCTTATAAGTGAGTTTAGTTTTCAAACAATCACTTTTGATCAATTTTTGCCTGATTAATACTGAAAATATCCAAACTACCCACATTAATTACATGTGCCTAACATGCGTTTTCCAACTGCACATGTAACTAAGAGCACTGATAAGTGTATTACAACTTTGGTATTACTTGGGCACTACCACAAACAAAAGAGTGAGGCTATGATGAGTCACTGTTTTTTTTTACAATTTTCAAGGACGGACACAACTCTTTTTGTTTGTGGTGGTGCCAAAATAGTATCAAAGTTGTAGTACACTTATCCTTTTTCTAAAATTAATGATGATAGATTGGATAAGTAAGGTATTAATTGACAAGAATTTGACAAAAAGTGGTTTGAGTAAAACCTATACCCCCTTAGAAGGTGATTTACATATAAAAAGATTTCAAAGATGGTTTATATTGATTTGACCTCTTTTAAAGGTGTTTTCATTAAAAAAAACCTAAAAATTATATTAATAAAAATATGATTTCATCAAAATCGTACTATTTCAGTTAAGGATAATAAGTCAATCCACCAGTCTTTACTTTCACCATCTTTATTAAAACTCTTAACTTACCTAAATCTCTACCCTTTCTTTGTCTCCTCCTGCAAGCTTGTATATATTCCCCACCCCCCTAAACTATTGCTTCTTATATATATATTTTCATAAGCCTCATATTTAGTCTTGCTAATTTTTTCTTCCTTAACTAATTATTTACTTCTCTACTGTCCCATTCCTATACTTCTGGATTCTTCATAAGATGTTTTCTTCCCTTTAATTTGATTCAGAAGTTTTTCAGCAACCACCAACTTACTTTATCAGACAATTTATCATTAGTAGATTCTCCAAGGATTTCTTTATACATCTTGATACAAGAAGACGTACTATTTCATATAATATTAGTTCTAAAATCTATAACTTCAACATATTATTCTTAAAATACAATGCATATGTTGTATGGGTCAACTCTCCTTTAATAGTTTTACAGTGTGTAAGACCCATCTATCTTTCTATTTTAATACATATACCGTGTGGTTAATTAATTACCTTAATATCACGTTGATTTTTCTTCTTCTACAGAATTCATGCTTTTCTGATTATTTGTGAAACTAACTTATATTGTGCTCAAATTACCGGACAGAATTCTTGGCTTTGCCTCCGGGCATGCACACACCGAGTTCAATCACTCGGGAAACTAAGAGCACGCCATCAAAATTGCAGCCCAGATTCAAAGCAAATCTCAAGTTGAAGATTTAAGCAACAGAAGATTGCGCTATGAGATCATAAGGAGCAATAAAACATCTAGTTCCGACCCTAATCTTGCTCGTCATGATCCTCATCTGTCCGCCCTCTATGTCGAGGACTCAGAGCTTGTTGGCATAAAGAGCACAGACAGGAGCTTGTCAAGTTGTTACTCAACAAGGACAAGCATGAACCGAGCTTGATTGCAGTGACGGGAACAGGACTTGGGAAGACTACAATAGCGAGGAGAGTCTATGAGAGCCCAGAGTCAGTAGCGGGCACTTCGTGCATGGATCACTATTTCTCAATCGTATGACACCGAGGTTCTTCTGAAAGATATGATTAGCCCAGGGATGTCAAATGGGTGGTTTTGGTTGGGTCTTGGTTGGGTTATAAATGGGTGGGCACATTTATGACCACTTAACCATTTATGACCACTTAACCATTTATGACCCATTTAGCATTTGCTAAATGGGTCAGTTCTCAACCACCCATTTACTAAATGGGTGGTTCATGGGTGACCCAATAACCCATTTAGTTATGATTATGATGCTTCTATATATATGTAAGTTTCAGGGATCTACTTGCAAACTTTCAGGGGTTTTTGGCAAACTTTCAGAGGGGTTTTCTGCAAACTTTCAGGGGGTTTCTGCAAACTTTTAGGGGATTTTCTGCAAACTTTTAGGGGTTTTTTTTGCAAACTTTCAGGGGTTTTTTGTAAACTTTTAGGGGTTTTTTTGCAAACTTTCAGGGTGTTTTTTGCAAACTTTCTGGGGGGTTTTCTACAAACTTTTTGGGGGGTTTCTGTAAACTTTTAGGGGGTTTCTGTAAACTTTTAGGGGGGTTTCTGCAAACTTTTAGGGGTTTTTCTGTAAACTTTCAGGGGGTTTTTTGCAAACTTTCAGGGGTTTTATGTAAATTTTCAGGGGTTTTATGTAAACTTTCAACGGTTTTATGTAAACTTTCAGGGGTCTTCTGCAAACTTTTAGGGGTTTTCTGTAATCTTTTAGGGGGTTTTCTGTAAACTTTCAGAGGATTTTCTGCAAACTTTGAGGGGGTTTTCTATAAACTTTTAGGGTTTTTATGTAAACTTTCAGGGAGTTTCTGCAAACTTTCAGGGGGTTTTCTGTAAACTTTTAGGGGTTTTTCTGCAAACTTTCAGGGGATTTTCTACAAACTTTCGGGGGTTTTATGTAAACTTTTAGGGGGTTTTCTGTAAACTTTCAGAGGGTTTTTTGCAAACTTTCAGGGGTTTTTTTGCAAACTTTTAGGGAGTTTTCTACAAATTTTCAGGTGGTTTTCTGTAAACATTTCTTTCTCAAAATCCATGAGCTATGAGCATAATTGTTCATTTCTTCATATTTGTTGTTGGTTAAAGTCTATTATTTTTTTCATGTTTGTTCTTAATTACAGAGTGTCCCCAAGTAATTCTCCTTGAAATTTTTTTATCACGTCGGATAACAATACACGCTCTCTTTCTCTCCTGTTTCTCGCGCAATAGACACAAGTTTTGCAAATTACACTTGGCCGCACACGCATATATCTCCTGCCGACGATGAATTGAGAGCGTCTACTTTTTATATTTATATATCCTTAAGGGTATTTTTTACAATTTTTAAAAGTTTGAGGGTGTTACTTGTAAATTTGATATTTATAGGGGACTACCAAAATTTTTTAGATTTCATGTGTCATTTGCAAGTTTAGAAAATTCTAAGATTGTTTTGTAGTTTTTAACTCTTGAGGGTGCTTTTTGTAATTTTTAAACTTTGAGGGTGTTTTTTATAAATTATAAATTTATAGGGGGTTGCTAGTAATTTTTTGATTTCATGTGTCATTTGTAGGTTTTGAAATTTCAGGATGGTTTTGTAATTCTAAACTATGGAGGGTGTTTTTCTAAAAATTTAAAACTTTGAGGGTGTTAATTGTAAATTTTAAATTTATAGGAGACTATTGAAATTTTTTAGATTTCATATATCATTTGCAAGTTTAGAAAACTCTAAGATTGTTTGATAATTTTGAAGTCTTGAGGGTGTTTTTCTCATTTTCTACAACTTTTAAGGGTATTTTTTACAAATTGTAAAATTTTAGGGGGCTGGTGGTAATTTTTGAATTTCATGTGTCATCTGTGAGTTTAGAAAATTTTGATAGTTTTTTTATAATTTTTAACTCTTGAGGGCGTTTTTATAATATTTTAAACTTTGAGGGTGTTTTTTGCAAATCTCAAAATTTTAAGGGGTTTTAATCATTTTAAGTGTTTTCTATAATTTTTAACTTTTAAAAATAAGTTTTATAATTGTTGAAGCGTTGAGGGTGTTTTTAAAACAATATCTATCTAAACAGGTAAATGAGTGAGTAATAACCCGTCCATTAATGATCCATTTATCTTTAATAGAAATTATACCCACCCATTTATGACCCATTTAACTAAATGGATGGGTTTGGATGGTTCATTTGGCGGGTGGGTATGAGTGGGCAATTGGTTTTGGGTCCATTTTGCCATCTCATTAGCCAACTCATCCCTCCAGAAGACCTTAACAAGATGGACCGGATGAAACCTACTGAAAATCTTAAGAGAGCATCTGCAAAATAAGAGCTATCTGATTGTGTTTGATGACATGTGGCAGATTAATGCATGGAACAGCTTACAACCTGAGTTGCCTAGAAGTAACGATAAGGGAAGCAGGATTATAATAACTACACGAAAGAGTGATATAGCTGAATTTTGCCGCAATAAAATTGGCGACGATATCCATGAACATAGTACTCTATCACAAGATCAATCCTTTGAATTGTTCTGCAGAAGGCTATTCCCTGACCATACTTGTACAAAGGAGCTCGAGAACTCATCTCTAGAAATCGTTGAAAAGTGCAAGGGATTGCCGCTAGCCATTATAGCAATAGCTGGTGTTCTTGCTGCCAAACCAAAGGACATAAATGAATGGGACAATATGCTGAAACACCTCAGTTCAGAGATGGAAACCAATCCGAAGTGGAGGAAATGAGGAAAGTATTAGATTTTAAGCTACAAAGACTTACCCTGTCAAGCGTTATTACTTATGAGTAAATATCCCGAAGACCATTTGATAGAACGCAAACATGTCCAGAGGCTGTGGGTAGCGGAAGGGTTCGCTAGTAGTCGTCGTGACATGACTGCAGAGGAATTGGCGGAATTATACTTTAACGAGATTGCAAATCGGTTCTTGATCCCACTGTCTGACGGCAAAGTAAAGAAGTTTCGGGTGCATGACGTTTTACGATAGTGTCCAAGTCGATGGAAGAGAATTTTGTCACACTAGTTCAAGAACATAGCATGTGGATAATAAAGGAAGGATCCGATATCTATCAGTCCACTCCGGATATTTTCCAAGTAATTTGAGATTATCTGGGCTCCGCTCATTGACCATGTTTAGACTTCCTTCATTAGCAAGTATGTTTTCTGAAGCACGCTTTCTAAGGGTGTTAGATTTGCAAGCCAAACATGATTTTGATGAGGGTGACTTCAACGTGATTTCTCAGCTACTTCATTTGAGATACTTGTGTTTTATTTACTATCCGAATTATAGAACTTGTGCTCCATGTCTTAGATCTTAAAATTTCAAAGATGAGGTATTCCCCAAATCCATAGAAAATCTTTAAGAGCGTGAGACTTTAGACATCAAAACAATACGTACTATAAGACTCCCTTCTGAGTTCTTGAAGCTCCGAGAGCTCTGGTTCCTTTTTGCACGAAGAGGAGGTTTAGTACTTCCCAGAGGAATAGGAAGGTTAATAAACCTGTAGACATTAGCATGAGTAGATTCGTCTCAATTTAAATGCATGCCGAAGAATTTACGGGTGCTGACCCAACTAAGAAGCCTGGAATCAGGAATCAGGAGTGCCAAACTAGAACATCTGGAACAGTCTCATGGGGCTAAGCAAATCCATTCTTTGAAATTACTATTTTATTCTAATATATTACTAGTTGATTTGGATGTTTTACTCTTCCATGAACTTCAAAGATTAAAGTTTTATGGTTGGACAAAGCGTTGTGTTAGGTTTTCAATCATTAGGGTATTGTCAAGATAACTCTCCAGTAAATTAGCATCCATGAGCCCAGGTCTCCGGAGGATTGTATTCACTTCTTCTTCCCCAGCCCGATGGCGGTTTCTGAATACGAGTGATTCAAGACGAGGCAATGCTCCTTTAAAACTCACTGAATACGACAGATTAATGACCAACACACTGAGAACCTGAAATTCTTGAGCTTCAAAGTGGAGGTGTCGATAACTGAGCGCACCTGCTAGGAGTTTAAGATGGATTAACTTCGGTAGCTTTCTAAGTTATCTTACAGAACAATCCTCCAAAACCCTGATGATTGAAAACTCAACGCGACACTTAAAAATTTAATCTTTGAAGTCCATGTAAGAGTAAATCATCCGAATCAACTAGTAATATATCAGAATAAAATAATAATTTCAAAGAAAGAGATTTGCTCATCCCCCTGAAAGCTGCTCAGATGTTCTGATTCGACGCTCCGGATTCCTAATTCTAGGTTTCTTAGTTTGCAACATCCGTAGCTCCTTCAACACGCCTTTAAATTGATACGAATCCACCCATACCAATGCCAATATCTGCAGGTTTACCAACATTACTATTCCTCCGGGAAGTAGTAACCCCCTCTTCTTGCAAAAAGGAACCGGAGCTCTCGTAGCTTCGAGAACTGAGAAGGGAGTCTTAAAGTACGTATTGTTTAGATGTCCAAAATCTCAAGCTTTTGAAGATTTCCTATGAATTTGGGGAACATCTCATCTTCAAAATTTAGAAATCTAAGACATAGATCACAATTTCTATAATCCGGATAGTAAGTAAAGCACAAGTATATCAAATGTGATAACTGAGAAATCACGTTGAAGTCATCCTCATCAAAATCATGTTTAGCTTGCAAATCCACACCCTTAGAAACCATGCTTCAGAAAACACACTTGTTGATGAGGAGCGCCTAAACATGGTCAATGAGCGGAGCCCAGATAATCTCAAATTACTTGAAAAATCTCCGGAGTGGACTGATATATATTGAATCATTTCCTTTGGTATCCACATGCTACGTTCCTAAACTAGTGTGACAAAATTCTCCTCCATCGACTTGGACACCATTATTTCTAGTAAAATGTCATGCACTCAAAACTTCTTTACCTTGCCGCCAAAATGGAACGTAGATGGTAAAATCAAGCACTGATTGGCAATCTCGTTGAAGTATGATTCCGTCACTTCCTCTGCAATCATATCACGACAACTACTAGCAAACCCTTCCAAAGATGAGGTGTTCCCCACAACCATAGGAAATCTTCAAAAGCTTGAGACTTTGGACATCAAAACACCAGATGCTCCCAGCATAGTACAATCTTAAGATAAAATTGAGAAGTGGTCATTTTAAGTAGAATAAATCTAGAAGCAACTAGAAAAAAAATATCACAACTGACTGGTCAATTCTTTCTTGAGTTAATGCTTTAGAAGATAAAATAACTTCTCAAATACAATGGACACCATCATTGTAAATTTGTAATTTTCTATACAGATTAGAATCAGCAAAAAGCCTTTGTTTGCCATGATATATCCTCATTGCTTTTATGAAATTTTACATATTCAACCTATAATATATGAGAATGTTAAAACCCTATCAACTATCATATATTCAGTTCAAATCAAGATCAAGATGAGTTCTAATTGATGATTTCTACTGCAAAAACATGAATAAAGGATCTTAAAATCCATATAAATTAAATCTCATGAAGCATGAAGAACCATAAAAGATATCAATTTTCTGTCAGTAGAACAAAAATAATTGCAAAATGCTGCTTTCCCCCCCAAAATTAATAAAAAATCAGTATCATCCCAGAGTACCTTAGTGCCAAATGGACCAACCGGAGCATCCATATCGAATCGCTTCCTCCCCTAATTCAACACAACAAGATCATAATAAAATAAAAAAGAAAATGAAATTAAATCGAAGAATGAAGAAGAAAAAGGGCAACCCTAACCTCGAGCTCGGCCTGTAGCTCCTCTCTCTCGAGCCCGGTGGCGATCGGCATCACATCCTCAACCCTCTTCTTCACCGACGACGACGCCGCGCTCGCTTCGAGAAATCAAAACAAAGGATTCATAAAATTAGCGGATCAAGGACCAGATCCCAAATAAATAAAACCCTTAAAAATTGGGGGAATAAAGTACCGGAATTGTCAGAGAAAAGAGGAGGGATGCTGTGGATCGACGGAGGAGGTGAGGGTGACGAGTGGAGGTGAGCGGCGGCGATTGTGGGGCGGCAGGCGGCGTATCGCCGGGCGGCGAGCTCAGAGGGGATTTTTCTCCACATTTCTTGTTTTCTGCTTTGTTTTGTTGAAGAAATCGAATGAAGCGATCCCTGAAGCTTTTTAAGATTTTGAGGAGAGACAGGGTATTAGGGCTCGCGCGTGTCTGCCAGGCTTCAGTAAGTGCTAACGGGTCGGATGCAGGGACCAGTTCAAACCGCGGGCTGAACCCGCGCA